CGCACCGGCTTTTTTTTTCTTTCCCCATTTTTTCTAAGCTGCCGCGTCGTCCGCGGTTTCCTGACACTTTGCTTTACTTCATAATATTTTTCTGGAATTCCGTGGGCGAAGGTTGTGCCGTGATTTGGTGGGTAACCAGCCGTAACAAAAACAAAGCCACTTGCTTGCCCTTAGCCAAGTACGTGGCTTGGCGGAGCGGAGTAATAATGAGATCACGAAAAGGGGTGGAAAGGGGGGGGGGTAAAATATGAAGAAGGGAAGAACATAGAAGACGAGGACGGACAATGTGGAGGCACTGTTCAGTAGGCTTGCGCCAAACGCACGGGGGCTCAGCATATTTCAGCACCCCCTAGAAAATGTCAGCGGCTGCTCAAGCCCCCGTTGCCCCCCCCCCCCTCCCCCCCCCCTCCCCCCCCCCCCTCCCCCCCGGTTCCGGGGTCTCTGGCCGAAAGGGTCTATTAGTATCTTGCCGAGCGTCATCGAAGCGTCTCCAAATCCGAGCTAAAGGAATGACGCGCTAGTCGAATGCTCGGCAACTTTTCCGAGCGGCCCAAGCGCCGACACGGAACCCGAGGACAACTTCCACAATCGCTCCACTGTGATGGCGCAGGTTACCGCCCGACACGAAGGGTTTAGCCAATATTATTCATCCATCCAGCGCCCCGGCCGCACGTCGGCATGCCCGCACGAAAAACGGCAGCCTTCAAAGCGGACGCTGGATTTCGCTGCGGGCCCCCGTCAAGCACCGAGCACCTCACGTATACTCACTGCACGGCACAGCGGGATCGGTGCTGTAATCAAACGTGGTGGCGTCGGAGCTAAGCCTCTCGGCCGTATCGGTTTCTTTCTCTATCAACCCAACAGCGGAAGTGGCTGGAGTCATGTGACCGGTTCTCAGGCACGCGTTCCCACCGCTTCCCGAAGTCGGAGCACCTTATCGCCACGACCTACAGTGATCCTGGCCTGCCCACAGAAGAGCACGCCAGCTCGCGCCTTGTAGTACAGCCCGCGGCTGCTGCGTTTCCATCACGCTATGACTTAACGGTACTACACAAATGTCGTTTTGTTTCCTAGGGTATCCGCAGATCAATCGAAGGCACACAAGGCGCGGCAGTGTTATCTGCTCCTGACCTGCTCTCCTCGCGGTATCTCGTCAGGCTCGCCAGCCTCGTCAGTCAACGGGCGAGTGACAGATTCGAATGGTCACTAGAGGCGCCGGCTGGCAGCACTGTGGCTGTTCGTGGGTGATCCGAGAAGGCGCCTTATCTCGATGATGGTACGAGAGCAGTCGCAGATAAAAAACGCTCTTGCGCTTCCGTGCCGGAGAAACGCGCTCTTTTGATCCAAGCAAACAGGAGAGCGATGCATCCTGCAGCAGTGCTACTACGTGTTACTGCAGCCTTCTGGTTGAAACAGGACATACATTAGACCAGATAATGTTGGGGTAATTGAAATCAACCATTAATATAATTGGCACTCCTGGATACTGGATGGTAATTTGGCTAATGCAATTCAGAAATGAGCAACTGGTATAAAAAAAAAAAAAAAACTATTTTATTCTCGTTTTATTTTTAGGCATCTACACTCTCTTTTTGTTTTTTCGCCTCAGTTTGAAGTTTTCGGGGAAAAAAACAAACAAAAACACTTGACAGCACGGAACGATACAGTGTCGACAGGACCCAAGTTTACAAAGATCGTAACTCCGTTAAAAGCGGGGAATTTCAGCAAAGTGGGAACGAGGATGGGAATTAAATATTACATTGGTGGTGGCTCGTGAGCAGGTAGGGCTTTATTTTTCGTTTCTTCAAGAAATTGTAACGACTGAGCACGGCCTCACTCTCTCTCTCGTAAAGATGCGCGAGGCGCTTCGGTCCTGTTAACTCCTCGAGGGGCTGTTGCGAAGCTCCTTTTTCCGTACGTATAGTTTTGTCTTCTTTTTTTCCCTTTTCACCAGCTACATTCCAAAATGGTCAACGACCGCAACCAAGTTTGCACCGCGGCGAACGCTCCTCTTCCAGACGGATTTCCGTTCTGTCACATCCCGTTTCATATCCTTCGCTGTATGAAAATATATTTGTCGCTTTCATTTGACCGCCATCGGCAGTGGCGCCGAGATTTCGTTTTCGCCCGAGCCGCATGCATTGCCTCCCAAGATTTGTTTTGGTGACACGATCCATCAGTTTTTTTCCGCCGTCCTTCCCCACCGCTCGCTCTCTTTGTTCTCCGCTTCTTCGGGTCGTTTTTGTGTTATCCCTTCCTTCCGGAATAATAAATAGCGAGCAGACGTACGCCCACACGGTAGGTATGAAGTACAAGTTTATATTTCGACGTGCACGTTGTAGAAATCTGAGCTCGACGGGCTGCCCCCCCCCCCCCCCCCCCCCCCTCTTTTCCTCCCCTTCGTGCGTGTAGTATTTTCGGCTTTACTCAGGGCCAGGCGCCCTTTTCTATGTATCTAGGTATACGTCTTGCTTTAGAAAGTTTTCCCCCAGGATTTTCCGGTGATTTGGTCGGGAGCTTCCAATATCTTTGAGCCGGGCAACAAGATAAAGGACGGAAAGCTAACCCCAAAGATAAAAAAAAAAAAAAGAGACCTCGAATCGTTGATATCCGGCGATACAGAAGGGGGAGGGGAGGGCGACGGTGATGCGTGGGCCCGCGGACGACGCGCTGAGCCTGCCAGGGAACGCGCGGAGGGCGAGCGGAGAGGACGCGCGTTTCCTCGCGGGCTTTTGTCTTCTGGCGGGGCTCGCCTTGATTTTGAAAAGGCAGGAGGCGAATCTATCTTCGACTACCATTTTACAAATTGCTTTCGAAAGGGCACATTTATTCGCTTTCTTTGCCCTTTCTGTTTCTGAGGCCATGCTCCGCGGGCCTTTGTTGTGTTTTTTTGTCTCCTTTTTGGCGGGGGGGGTCTCGAGGGTGAGATGGCCGTTGGCGTGGTGGAGCTTTGTAATTTGAGATGTCTGACACGAAGATGAACGGGATTTCTAACTTGCCTCGCCCGGCCTTTGCTGCTGGAGCATACTTGGCAAGCATGCGATAGAAACGACGGTAATACTACGCTCTACTACTGCTGACGGCAATAATATGTATATAGTACAGAAAGGAACGCAGTGGAGCGCAGCCACCGAAAAAGACTCGCTGCCGGAAATAACACGGCTCTCGAAAAATTAAAAAAAAGTAAAAAAACAACAACAGCAAAACCTGTTCACGCTGCATATAAAGTGTACAACTAGGTGTGATCGTTCGCGAAGAATCGTCACTTTTTTAGGTGCTGCTCTGAAAACGTGGAAGCCAACATCCCACTCTGCCAAAAGGTAGTCGATCGTCGATCATGATGGAAGCTTATATTTCAAATACGTGTTATCAGGCGAAAAAAATTGAAGCGGAGTTTTTTTCTTTTACTTTAACAGGCTTTATGTTCTTCTTAGCTATCGAAGAAACCGTCTCACTTTAATGCGAACTGAAGCGAAAGCGAAAGTGAAACATATAAGCGCATTTTCCTTGCTTTAAAACGCGTCCGTGCATGCAAGCACGAAGGCTCGTGCGGCAGAAAACCCCACCAAAGCTACCAGCTCGCACTTGTAGAATGCCCCGAAGTCCACATTGAGATAAGACGGTGTAAATAACTTCTATAAAAAAAAGGAACATTACAAGAAAAATCTTACACACTAAACAAATCTGGTCGTAAGATAACTCTTTCGGGTTCTTCGGCTTCTCCATATTTTGCACCCTACAACGCTTTTTTAAGCGCCTCTTAAAATGGTTCTTTGTGATCAAACCTTTACGGGTGTTTTTTTAAGCCCCTTTTGTGATGTGAAAGAGTTCTTATTCGCCCAGTTGCTTTTCTAGTGCGCCGGGTAGCGATAGTGCTTCAGGCGACACCGTTCTTCACGGGGTGTAAAAAAAAACCCTTTCAAAAACGGATTAAAAAAAAAAAACATTTAGAGTGTAGCAAAGTGCTCTTGTAGTCTCGTGTGTCATGGTGGAAACTCCGATGTGAGAATCATTCAACTACTTTCGTTGTATCTTTCAAGCGCAGAAAAAAAATCTAAATATCAGGGCGTGAACGTGTGGCGTCCAAAGGGATGCATGAAGATCGCTAAAGCGCCTCTAACGCGCTTCCAATACTCAAGTCCCCGGGGCATTTCGCTCGATTGCACGTGGAGCGGACTCTCGCGCTTCACACTCGGAGATTATGGTGCCAGGTCGGATTTGAACCGGATACTGGACCGCCGTGCGGTTGCTCCTGCGTTTACGCACAAGCAGGCGCAGATTATCAGTTTCATTTAAGATGCCATTTTGAGGAACGAGGTTCGACGTTTGAAAGCAAGAAATTTGCACATCCCACGTTTAGGTTAGCAGCTGACGTAGTAATAATAAGTTTCCTCGCAATGTCGCTCGCACGTTTCCCCCGAAAATACAGGAGGACACTTTAGACTGCTTACGTGTGGGATGGCGAAATCATTATAGTCCCGCAGGTGAAATGCTTTCGTGTAACGTTTCTACACGTACTGAAGTTTAAGACGACGTCCTCGATATCGACGCCAAGTACGGCATCTAGGACGACCTCTAGGATCACGTCAAGGAGGACCTCAAGGACGACGTCTAGGACGACCTCTAGGACCACTTCAAGAACGACATCAAGGAATGCGTCGTCCTTGAGCATACGATTGAGCGGCCGCCTGAGCGGTCACTAAACGTTTTGGTACCGTTCGTGTCGCCGACGTATTTTCGCTCAAGGACTTTGAAGGTCGACTGAACGATGAGACATAGAAGGCTTTCGCCTTAATAATGCGGGCGGTCGCAAATGCCCCTTACATTCACAGGCCTCGTCCCTGTCATCGACATGTGCAGACGGCTAAACACAGACACGCGCACACGTAAACACAGATCGAATTCCTGAAAGGCAACAATGGACCTTTTTCCAGTAGCACTCTGCGCATGCGCGAACTCTCGCTACCAGGGGGTCGGTTCCGCCGTCGCCATTATTGGAGGGCACCGACGCCAACGCCGCGGAAAACCATGTCAACCGTGTTGTGATCGTGGATCGTGTTCATCGCGTGTTCCTGCTCTGTGCCGACGCTGTGCGGCCGGATTGTTGTGTTTCTGCCGTCCAGCATCACTGTCTACGGCAGCCCAGCGAAGTGGCAGCAGAGTGACAGCTTTCCTGCGTTCGATGAACGCCGTGTAGCGATGCCAAACACTTGCTCTGCAGTCGGCTGCTCAAACCGACGAGAAAAAGAGAATGGCACGCGGTTTTTTCGCTTCCCATCGCCCAAGTTTCACATCCGTCAACGAAAGATGTGGATCGCGGCTGTTCGTCGCGTGAACCCCGGCGGCTCGGCCTGGCAGCCGACGAGTAATGCTCGGATATGCAGCAAGCACTTCCACACAGGTATGTATGTTAACACTGGCAGCTTTTCACTCGTGTGCTAAAAGCGCAAAGCTCTTGATCACCCTTCGTGCTTATGATGGACTCGGGTCGTGAAGGGTCGGCGAGCATTTGCTGGCGCTTCAGACGTACAAAAATGCGCCGGCAGCGACATGTCCATATCCAAACACCGCGCCGGCGCTGGTGTTTACGGTTGCCCGCGTTTGCCTGGACCGCCTGGGTCACGCATGAGCTTCGTTCAGTCGGGTGTATGACCCCACATCTGAGATGCAGAAATAAATATTGGCGTCATCGAAGCCCACACAGATTACAAGAGAGTACAGGTTACGAAATTCGCATAGCGTCCTCGAGAAAGGCATCAAATTTGGATGCGTTTTATTCGCGTTTCCGGGGGACTGTTAAAATTTCATTCGGCTTTTCAAGAGGGCTTGTCAGCTAGGGTCAACCTTTGCTTTTCTATTTAGTCTTTTTCCTCTGATCGTCATTTTTTCATGTCAGAGTGCCGAGCCCGATCACTTACCACAAATATTATTTTCAGGCTAGGTAGTAGGATGCTTAAACTAGACATTCTTGTACAACAAATTTGGCCGCCTTTGGTAACTTATAATTTCTCATTACCTCCTCGTTGTCTCAAGCAAAATTCATTCTCGTCAATATTTATTTTGTCGTGTTTTTATGGTTGGTTACAAGTCTCTCGGGCTCATGAGATTGGGAATGGGAGCCCAGTACCTAATGCACTGCAGATGAGAGCACACATAGCGAAACTTGCAGTGTTATTCCCAAGAACTTTAAATTCGATCCCCCCCCCCCCCCCTTCCAATCTGAACAAGCATCACAGCATTGGCATGCAGCGGTGTGTCGCTGTTGTGTGGTGCATGCTAGCAGTTGAAATTTCTCATTTACCGCATTTAACAATGTCGGCCAACCCCGACTAATCTAAAGTTCGCTTCATTTCTGCATTGCTGTCTGGCTCGATGTCTCCATTTAAAACTTGGGCCCATTATCGGCGCAGTGTTTCGTTTCGGTCTTTTCCCCTGTTCAGATACGACAATACTAAATATGGTCGGGCTGATAAACTGCACAACCTATTTGAGCTTTGGTAAAAATCAGGCTAGCAAATTTGCGGCATTTAAATGACTTGTGACATTTAAATGCCGGCATTTAAATGTCATAAGTCATTTAACTTCCGTCATTTGAATAACACCCGTACGAAGAACATAAAACTTCCGGCATTTAAATGACACCCGTACGAAGCACACTTGCCAGCGTTTGACCTTGTGAACACCCATGCTAAATGTCTTTCGAAATATTTCGCTGGGAATTGGCCACCTAAATTTGCCATTGGAGGTGGCAAGCACAAGCTGGCCTGTGCTCTGCTTTGAAACATGCCTTTGTTCTGCAAGGTTTCTTTCTGCAAAAGCGTGGTTTAAACCCTCAACCAACCTTGTACACTAAAGCCTCACTGCTCTTTAAGCTGAAGGCTGGCTAAAATAGTGACTCTGCACGGCATCGGCAGAGCGAGATGACGGGTAGGGGTCATGAGCTTTCTATCTGCCACCAAGCATGTTTTACTTGTTAAGCCATTTGTTTTTACAGTTCGTGCACAAATCGGATAACGGTTTGAGACGAGTGCCTCCCCTATTGTGCTATGCACATATTTTAGTGCCTGCAGAGCTCTGCAAACAGAAGATGCTAACAAAACAAAAATGTCACGTACACACTTCAAAACTGATATTTCAAGTTAGGATGGTACCCCCTATTAAATTAAAGGGAAGCTATTGTGCATTGTCGGTGTCTTTTCCATTTAATTTGTGTATGTCGCTCTGTTGTCATCATATTTATAGGCCCCCATCAAATATCCTGGCACAATATTTGTCTTTCTCTTTTTGCAGGCAAACCAGCAAAGCTGTCCACGCACCCCGATCATGTGCCATCAATCTTTTGCGAACGTCCAGCTCGAGATGGCGTAATGCAGAGGCACGAGCGGTCTCTCCTCAGAGGAAAGCAGTTTGAGTGCTACATTGTGGATATTCGTTATTTACATCAGAAGTCAGATTGAAGATGAATATGCTTGTTAGATCATCAACCAGCTAACTTAGAAACCGCTATACTTCGTTTCACCCTCCGTCCGACTGCAGCAACGCTACGAGCCATCCCAGTCAAACCAGGTTTGGGAGGGTATCATGTAACTTTTTGGTTGGGAGGAGCTCAAGATTATGTGACGCTTTCTCAATGCTAGATTGGCTGGGACGGCTCATAGCATCTGCTGCACTCGGATGCAAGGCAAAATGAAGCATATCCCACCTTTGTTTTAGTTATCAAGTTAATAATGTCTTCTACTTTCACTTCGTTCCTGTTCCAATTTCCTCATATCTTTCCTCTGCTAAGAGTAACCAGCCGAGGCAGGCTGCATCGATTAACCTTTGTTTTCTCCTCCTGTTCCTATTTTGTCATCTCAATATTTTGATTGACTAATTTTTGTTACTATATGCTTTTATACTTTGCAGATCTAAATGCAGCTCGCGTTCAACAACCAGGAGTTGATGTCAGTCTACCGAATGATGAAGGTATGCTCCCTATAAATAGTCTTGTTCTTGCAAAAAAGGTTGGACCTGAATAGCCGCAAAATTCGAGGCGAATTCTGGGATATTTCTACTCAATAAATACGGGTATCGAAACCACTTGCTGCACACATTGTGAAACCCGAGAAAACACTGAAAACCATCACTAGTATTTTATTTTTTTTTCTCCAATATTTTGTGTTAATTTTGAGCATCTTCCGGCCTACCTAAAAGCAAATGTTGTATTTATTTCGTTGTTATTAAATTGCTAAGCCAACTTTGGATCCAGCAAATACTTGTATTGTTTTCTAGTTTTTCTTAGGGTTGTAGTGCAGCTATCTGCCTTTTCATCTGTTGTGTTGATCCTAAAAATTTTCCCCTATGTGATGCCCAAAGGCCTAAAAGTATCTATCTCACTTCCAGAAAAGACAAATACTATATGTGCCATTCAGACAACATGGCAGCAATAGAAACCATTTCCGAGGAGAGAACCAGCCTCGTAGAAATCAAAAACAGACCTAGCTCCCACCTCTTCTCTCTCGTATGTCCTTTCTCGATGGCAGGAGAAAATCCTTATCAGCCATTGTAGAAATAACAGAATTCACGCTTTCGAAACCAAAAAAAGAGTCAAGGCCTACATTCAGTTCGAGTGCAGTAAATGCTACGAGCCACCTAGACCGATCTAGCTCATGGAGCTAGATCAGTTTGGGTGGAGCGGCACCATAAGCTCAAAGTCACCACGGTGGATGTGTTATGCATGATAATTTGCGCTCACTTTTGGACAGCCCTACATATATCTGGGGCATTGCTTAGGTTGGACTGCCCAAGGGTCTACGAAAAGTATCTGAGTTGGGAGGCTTTACTGTACTTGGACTGAATATACTTATGTGTCTCTTTGTTGTACTTTCAGCTTGCAGCAGCGAAGACTCGTCGGAGAACGAAGGTACGGGCACGAGGATGCAATTGCCGAGATGGGTGTGAACGACTGTATTTGTGTGCTTAGCTCATTTAGAATATTGAACCCATAGGACCTCATGGGGGGGGGGGGGGGGGGGGGTCTATGTTCTTTTGGTGTTTGTTTAGTCTAACAGTCATCTTGTTTAGTGTAACAGACCCCTGCCATCGTCCGCTTTTCCGCTGCCTCGACGCTCGCTCTGTATTTTGTTTGGCACAAGTTCGATGATTAAGCCTTTATTTTGAGTTCACTGTTCCTCCTCTCATCATTTTCATTTGTGACATTTCTGGTGGAGGTGCTAGGTAACGCATGACTTTGCAGCGTACCCCTCTGAGGGCCCGCAGTGCATGTCCGACGCCAAGTCCACGAAGACCCAACGACGGCACCAACAAGACCCAAGGAAGCAGCCCCGTCGTTCAAGGTTTTCCCCCGGAATTTGGTCTACTGCCGGAGAAAACCCACCAGGCGACGAAGCCAACTATAAGCAACCAATCTTCAATGACCCCTGCCACCGTCCCCGTCATTTAGTTGCTCGTTGCCCCTCAAACGCCCACGACCTTCCACGGCGAGATTCACGAGGATGTCGAGTACCGAGTCCAACACTACGAGTGCGTGGCACGCTATAACGGATGGACTGCCAAGCTATACCTTCAAAACCTCTACTTTTCACTGGAGGGTACTGCGAGGCACTGGCCCGAGAACCACGAGGCTTCGCTCACGTCGTGGGACGCCTGCGTCACCGGGCTGAAGCGCGCATTCATGAATCAGCATCATGAATGACGACTGAAGCACCAAACGAAACCGACACTTGCTTTGTTAAAGATGTCCTGCGGCTCAGTACCTGAGCGGACCCTCCAGCAACCGAGGAGAAAATACTGCGTGTCCTCATGAGAGGTGCGAAAAGTGAAATCTTCGGCGGCCTCATCCACGACCCTTCAACAACAGTCGACGGGTTTATTACCGAAGCAACAAACATTAAGCGGGCGCTAGCGGCCCGAGCCCGCCACCATCATTGGCTCGACCACGTGTCAACTCTGGCATTTGTTCGCCCCAAACTCAGCACCAATGCCAACGAGCTTCGCAAGATCATCCAGGACATTGTTCGAGAGGAGCTCTGAAAGCTGCTACCCACTGCATAGCGCCCAGGGTCGCTCTCAGTCGCTGAGATTGTACGCGACGAGGTATACCGGGCCTTGCAGCCCAAACGCACCCGTTGACGTGCCAACCCCCAAGGAACCGTCGCTGACCTACGCTGCCATGGCCAGACGACCGCCGCAAGCTCCTCGCCAAGCTACGGCCGAAACCACAGCGCCGCCGACTGCCTTTTCCCGTCGACTCCGCTGACGGCTGTGCCAAAGACGATGACGATGACGATCACTTTCTTGGCGCAGTGAGCATTCATGATATGGCAGCGCTCCAGCGAGACGATCCTGAGCTGCGCGCACTGATCGACCACATGGAGGGACGAGCGGGTACAATTCCCCGAGCCTCCTCACGTGCCCTGTCAAGATTCACTGTCTAAAGAGCTATTCTCTACAAAGAAAGCTTTGGGGACAGCAACTCGACGGGGCTCCTGGTGATTCCTACTAGTCTTCGAGAAGAGGTCTTCCAAGCCTGCCACGACAACCCGACATCTGGTCACCTTGGCTACAGCAGGACTCCTGCCCGGATCTGAGAAAAATACTACTGGCTCAAGCTCCCGAAGACTGTACACCTCTACATCCGTGGGTGTCGCGAATGCCAACGACGCAAGAGACCCCCGACGAAGCCGGCAGGTCTGCTGCAACGGATCGCGCCCCCGGCTGCACCGTTCCAGCAGATTGGAATGGTTTTTCGTGGACCTTTCCCACCGTCGATGCAGGGGAAACCGTTGAGTAATTGTGGCAACTGATCATCTCACCAGGTATGCCAAGTTCTTCGTTGACTCTATCGTCTTCCAACAGGGTGCTCCGCAAGTCCGGATTACGGACAGAGGCTCCTCATTCACGGCACAACTGGCACAAGAGATACTCTGCCTGAGCCTCACCGACCATTGCCGGACCACGGCAGACCAACGGGCTGATGGAGCAAGTAAACAAAACCATTGCCGACATGATCTCGGTGTACATGGACGTGGAACTCAAGACGCGGGATGGGTTGTTGCCCTATGTCACGTTTGCATACAACACGGTGGTTCAAGAGACCACTGGGATTACACTACTTCAGCTGGTGCACGGCAGAAAGGTGACGACGATGCTCGACGCCATGGTGCCCCATGACCCGACAGATGACGGAACCGACGACGCCCAGCTGGTCACCCAACAAGCAGAAGAGGTACGCCAGCTAGCCCGCCTTCACATAAAGGACCAGCAGCGTGTCGACGCTAGCCGCCGGCTGGTACAACTTTTGTCGCCGGGAAGTTGTGTTCCAGCCCGGAGACAGGGTGTGGACGCCCATTCGCCGCCGCAGCCGCAGCGAGAAACTGTTAAAACGCGACTCTGGACCCCACAAGGTCATTCGTCACCTTGGGGACTTGAACTATGAGGTGCTTCCCGACGGAATCCGACCATCAGGACGCCGCCAGCCATGACCCGCAGTCGTCCACATAGTTTGACTCAAGCTGTTCTACGCACGTTAGGATTGTAACACTGCGTGTTTATTTCGTTTCAGCTTAAATTTTTTAGCCATTCCTGTTTTCCTTTCGCGTTGCATCAGGACGATGAACTTTTAAAAGGAGGGAAAATTTTAATGGGGGGATATTTTTAGTTCCCTGTTCCTCCTCTGATCATCTTCATTTGTGACAATATTGAACCCATAGGACCACATGGGTGGTCTATGTTCTTTTGGTGTTTGTTTAGTCTAACAGTCATCTTGTTTCAGGAGAATTTGACATGACAAGTGGCAGCCACGGAACTGTGTCAGCTGATGACAGCTTAGATACTGGTATGTAATGCGCAGCTACACTGGGGCATTTTTGTTTCTAGTTACTTCCATAGAGTGGCTATATTTAAAGGGAAACTGAAGCGGTTCTGTATTTGAGAAAAAACACTTCAATGGCCTTCATTCTACCTCCAGGATCAGGAATATCGAGATTATTTTTCAAGTTGGTGCACGGAGGCTTCAGAAATTAATTTTCAAAGTACGGCCGAAGCCCCTCCTTCTCGGGGCGTGACGTCACACTAAACATTTTCGGAATCTCTGCTCTCGCGCATCTCCAGCGCCTGTGAAAGCTATGCACGCGCACTCTTGCTATTTTCAAAAAGGTCGGAAAGAAACGTCATGACTGCCGTCAGTGCGGAAAAATACACCTGGCAAGCTTGTCAGTGCACGCGCTGCCCACACGAGCGGCACGCACTTGGCGGCCCAAAGATCCTAGTATGACGTCGCGACTGGTCAGAGTTTTTTCGCGTTTTCTCACTTCTAGTTGCATCTTCGGGGAAAACGAGTGTGATATTCAGATTCACGGGATAAAAATACGCTAGAATTCCCCCCTAACTCGTTTTTTTCAAGAAGTGTTTCAGCTTCCCTTTACAGGGGCGATGCAACGATTTTTGTACTTGGCGCGAATACCGCTTACAAGGAATCACTGACGTTAATGACCTGTGAAACACCCGTTCGTTTTACACCACACGCAATTCAAGTCGCAGAAAAAATTAAAGAAAATGAGCAGCGTTCACTCCCTCAACTCACAGCCAAAACAGGTGGCCACGTGATCTGGACCCGATTATATGCCGCCAATGTTGATCATAGCCACGCGCTGGGATCGGCAAAGCATAGGACACGCGCCGAGTTCCGGACATTGTTATGGTTCGGCTACTGTCGTCATTGCAGCGATTGGACACGGTCCACTACCCAAATGCTTCTCGAGTTATCGATTATCACGAGCCCAAATCGAGTGCCCACGCAATGCTCGGATCCAATCTATGAGCCGCATTCGACTATCGTCACTCGGAGGTACTGCGACCACCCAGCTATGTCATCAAGTTTGCGAAGGAGAGATTGAATGAAAACGCTCGCTTTTGTCCTTGAAATTACATCGCAACAAAGGTGTTTCTTGGTCAGCGGCGTTGCGTCCAAGTATCCTGGAGTCCCACTAGTGCCAGTAAGCTCGTGTGAAGTGAAAAACATTCCGATTGAATATCGCTGCACTGCTCCTTTAATTTTAGAGCGCAGCTCTTAGGGGCCCGTTCCTGGCTTGAGCAGCGTCGCCATCGGCGTAACCAAGGTCACGTGACAAACCCCCCCCCCCCCCCCCAAGGTCAAGTCACGTGACCACTCCGAGGTCACGTGACCACCACCCCTCAGGGTCACATGATCCCCCCTAAGTACCCTTCCCTACTCCTCCTCAAGAGCTGCGCTCCAATTCGGCTTTACAGGGATTTGTAAACGGCTTTCATTTTTTTTTTTTATGCAGATCAGCAAGACCTTGTAGAGCAAGGCCCTGCGCAGCAAGAGCCTGCACAGCGAGAGTCTTCACAACAAGAGCCTGTACAGCCAGCAACAAACTGTGGTGGGTTGAGGCCTAGAGGTTGGTTTTTACCATCTAGTGAGAGGAGTTCCTTACTCCTCGACTTTGGAGCTACATTACAAGATTACTAAGAATGATACATGTTTGGAAATTTTGTGTTGTATTTTTATCATTCTTGCATTTTCATGAAACACCGAATAACATGTGGATGACAAAGTAGGGCGACATATTACAAAGATGTCTCGGTGTGGAAACTGCAACTACAGCTTTCTCAGGATAACTCGCCTTAACCTACATTTCAACAACCAGCTCTTAGGGTTCTAAACACGTCTGGTGTGTTCAGCAGTTGCGACAATTTTGGCCTTGATGCATTTATTGCAGTTTGTTTACGTGTGCCCGTAAAAGCTGTAAAAGGCAGTCCTGGCATCAACCGCTGCTCTGATTTGTTGGGCATGAGTGGCCCTCATTGATTTAGTGAAGCCCAGTTCAAACTAAAAGGGATTTTCCCCATCGTCCCCGTACCGGAACTTGGACGATTCCTGTGAGGCGCCGTGACGTTACTGCGGCATTTGCATAGCGTTCCTCCTGTTAGTGACATCACAGCGTCTAGCAGGAATCCTCCCAGTTCCAGTACAGAGACAGCGGGAGTCAACTTTCCCTTGAGATGGGGCCCTGGTCAGTATGGTGACGACTGACAATTTGTCCCAGCCAATAGACTTCTCCAAAACCGACGCGCCCCATCGCGGCGAAATACCACGCAGTGCACTCTGGGAACTATACCTAGTTGGCCACTCAGTTTCGAGTGAGCAGGTTCATCTCATGCTATCACGTCGCGACCGAACGCGCTGATTGCGTTTTCGATTATCCGACTTTTTACGAATGTGCAATACACTCATTCTCGGACGATACAAAACGAAGACCGGGGAACTTTCCTTGGTTCCCGAAGCACCGAATATTGTGTGTGCGTATGCAAACATATAGTTAAGACGTGGCTTAGTCACCTCACCCCTCGAGTGCATATTTGAGCACAATGTTAGTAATCACGTCTAGTACCAGTGAACTACAACTGAAATTTAGTCACGTTGAGCCTCACACGTATTTTGTTTGCCAAACGTCCGCTTCTTGTTACTTCATTGGGCGAAAAGCAAGCCGCATCTTCACAGGATATCAAAGTTGAGCCCAGCGCTGGCGCACATGAACTTTTAAGGAAACGCAATAAATTCGACCTCATTACTGCACAACAGTTACTACGATGTCTTCCCCGTGTCATCACATATCTCGCACTCAAAGTTATATATCACACTCAAAGTTTGTGCTGATAGAAGGTTTTCGCAAGCACTGAGATCGGCTTGCTACGACGGAGGCCCTAACAAGCGTCCACTCCTCGGTAAGCCTTTTTGGACGAGCTTTTACTGACGCCAAAGATCTGTGCCTGAAATTATCTCGGCATACTCAGTGAGGAAGAAAGCAAACATATAACAAATGTTATAGCCATTAGCAGCCGTCAAATTCGCTTTGAATAATTTTCGTTCGTTTGGCACACCGCATAGGGGTACATGCCCGTCCGGCGCACTTCCGGCGAACGGTGCAACATTCTTCACACAAGTGCTCGACTTTTGCTTTCTTAAAACGGTTTGTATGTGGGAATGTGCCTATATGATTGCAGGATAACGTTATGCGCATACGCGATGTTGAATATTAGTGGAATGCAAGCGGGTGGAAACTTCACTTCGTGCAGTGCTGCGGGGTAGTACAGATAAGAGATGAGAAGTGTGTTCAAATGGAGCTTTTCAATGGCGTCTCCAAGTTTTACCTCGCGTACTTAGGCGTATTAAAGGGGCCCTGCAATCATATTTAAGCGTCTACCTTTTTTGCGGTTTCCATGTCTCTTGGGGTTCGGGCCAGCCAGGGGGCACGGAGAGAGTAATTAAATAGCAGTGCATCATATTTTAACCGGACGACGCGGAAACCTCCTCCGCCGACGAGGGCGACCCGCGGTACCGAAAACGCGCAAAATGTTACGTTTTAGGTCCTGGGCTTGCTACTGGTCAGACCCGCTAAAAGCTTTTTCTTTAGTCGAGATACAAAATATAAGTGTCGCGAACCGTTTCAATTATGTATTAAAGTAGTTTTTGTTCAGTGTTTTAGATCAGAAAAGAAACAAATGCAGTTCATAAAGTACGGAAACAAGAAAAGACCCGTCGGCAAACCCGCCACCACGCGGCAGAAAAAACGGCGCATACTAGAAAGTGCTAGTGGGATGAGGCTCCGCCGAAAGGCCAGCGTAGAAAGGTCCCGGATGTACGCGGCGGCGCTGCGGTCGTATACCGGCTCGAGGATCCGACCGGTTCCGAGCTTTCCGAAGGCTTTCGGCGCGGGCTTGGCTGGCGGTTGGGCCGTTTGGCGGTATGGCAGCGTGAAGTGGCTCCCGTTCTGAACTGATCTTTACGCCGTGTTTGCTGTCGTTTGTGGCTAATGAACTGTTATGCCGAATTAGCCTTTAATCGCGCAGCAAATGCAATGCGAGCCGCCCCGGCCGCCCGCTTCATACAGCCTATCCAACACGTGCTTTAGTGGCGCCCTCTGGAGCCGTCGACGCGGAGTGCGGCAGCCGTGATCGCTCGATGAGCTGACTACTCCTCCTCTAGTTCACGGCCACTCAAGCCAGGACCTACTACGTCATGGAGGAGGTTTTTTCTTGCTTGTTTTTGTAATTCTAATTTGCCTATAACTTTTAAAGTAATGCAAATTTTGAGAAAAGAAAAGTTCCATTAAGTTGCTACGTTCAGTGCGCTCAGGATCGGTGCAAATTAAAAACCAGTACAAAAGGCCTTGCAGGGCCCCTTTAAGAAAAACAGTAATCGCAAAAAGTTATATTTCGTTTATGAACGCACGAAACAAACTTCCTGACCAACAATACTAATGTAAGGGCTCGAGCTCGATGTATGCATACTTATTGGTTGCTCCTTGCTGATTCGCACACAAGCAAGATCCCCGAACTTCGCAACGTCGAAATTCCCAGCACTGGCTCGTCCACATACCTCGAAACGCTAACAGAAAGGCTCAAGTACAAAAATACAACAAGCATGTGTTAAGACAAGCTGCACGTCTCGGGCTTGTGCTAAAGCTTCGAGGTCTGGCCATTTAGGTTAGTTTAGAGACCACAGATGACGCTCTCGGGACTAGAAAGCATGAGACGCTCTGTATGTGACCTCTTGTCGGCGTGTCGATCGAAACCGAAACCATGCCACTCTCCTCCCTGGCCAACTAATTCCCAGAGTGCAACGCGCGCCGTGTTGCACGCAGGGCTTTATGGAAGTAGTCCATTTAGCTTTGAGAGCATGACATTTGAGCTTGTGGGTGGGTGCAAAGACGTGCGGAGCGGGGAGACAAGTGATATGCTCTTAGCGCTAGATTGGCTGGGACGAAGAGTAGAATCGCCTGGATAGATACGGAGGATAGATACACATACACTCGTTAGAAGCTACAAGTGCTGCCCCAGCCCGAGAAATGGGTTTCCCAAGAATTCTGCCTGGAGCACCCACACCACCTGATCCGTTCCTGAAAGGGTAGCTGCAAAGGAAAAAAGGGGTTTTTTTAAACAGCCTACATGGGACAAGCATGTCACAAAACAAATCTTCAGCGAAAAAGCAAATTTTTTTTAGCAATATTTACGCCACAGGAGGTAATTTAGTCGGAGTCACAACTTCTCCACATTTGAAACTCGCGCTCTTTCAACCCGCGCGCAGTGGCTGTTACACATCACTCCATGACGTCTAGCACTCACTACGTGACGTGTAATACCAAATTTGTGGCCCGTGATATAAAACGGCCGAAATAGCCGCAAACTAAAATCAGTCTCGCGCAATAAATATTGCTGTAAAAAATTTTGCTTTTGGTGGAAAAATTGTTTTGTGGCATGCTTGTTCCAATTAGGCTGTTTAAAACTACACTTTTTTTCTTTGCAGTTACCCTTTAAAGGGCAACTCCACTCCAATTTTTGCAATTTTTGGGTTATGATCCGTTTAGTCAAAGTCGGTGACCCTGAATCGCAAGATATACTTTGTTTTTCGGTAGTGTGTATATTTTTGTAGATATTGGGTATCCAAGTTTTGTTCCGGCTGCAACACTCGCGTGAGCGGACAGCACCGCTTCACTTTCTGGAGCTATGCTGCTGTTAAAGGGATGCTGAACTGAAGACCATAATCTAAATTGTTTTGATATTTACAGCACACGATATTTACAGCACACGGTACTTGAAATAATAAAGTTGTCTAAAGTGTATGATTTATGGAAATAGATATTCTAAGGTGCACCTGGTGAGTTTCTTTGAAAGCTCGTTTCGTGACGACACTATACCTGTAGTATGCAGAACGCGGCTATGGTGAGCCACCAAAGGTGGCTCCGACCTACCTCATTGACTCCGGCGTGCGCTCACGCCACGTAGAGGCGCAACGAAACGGAAATGCGATATGCGAACCCCATCCCGAAACGCAAGCGATGAGATATATTTTTAAAAGAAAAGCAAACTTATTTGATACATTTGTCGAACGGTGTTCATCATGTCGTTTTTCACACGACACCTATGCGGCGCCGAACGGCCTAGCGAGCGTCGCCAGTGGTGAGCAAGCGGCACCTTGGCGGCATCAAACATCACGCTGTCGAAGTCACCGTTGTCGAAGTGTAACCACAGACCAAGGTACTGAAGCGACCGAAGCTCGACACCTCTTCGGCTCTTCCGACCAGCGCCGCTCGTTCTGGCGTTCTCAGTCTGTTGAAGCCGTCGCTACGACGCAGGTGCGGAAGTGGACAGGGGGTGGCTGGCAGGTAGTGTGCAGCTAACTTGGCTGGATTAGTTAGCAAACTTCCAACGCGACGGGCATCCGTCTACTATTGTTCAAAGCGCAACTTTCTTCCACGCTGTGGCGCGTCGGCAGCTCGAAATGTTCACGTCAGTTCCGTTGCGAGTAATCCCAGAGGGCCTCGCGCGTCGGAGGCTTCTGGCGCTTGTGGCTCAATCGGCGCTCGTCATTCCAAGAAATGTAATAATCCGATCTCCATCCCTTTACATGAATAGTAGTTCTAGGTATGGTGCGATCCCGGGAAGCTTGTCCGGTGCTTATTTTGGCAACTTCAGATATCGGTTGAGCATCCTTTTAAATGAACTGCCAGACATAAATAAAAATAGGAGAACATAGGATAAGGCGATAAGCACCTCTTGCTGTCAGTAGAATCGCAGAATGCCACGGGAAACGAAGCCTCCGTGGCATCCGCACAAGAGCATAGGACGAAACCTACGTCATTATCCACTGTTGCTGCACTAGCTCACCCGGGGCCAGCGTTGCTCACCCGCTGTCGGGCCGCTAACCCAGCCGGTAGAACATTTTTAATATTGGTTTAATTGGGAATGTGGCGTCAATTTGACGTGATATTTTGGGTATGATCGTATTTTGACCCCCTAAAGCGATATCCGCCATTTCTATAGCATTGATTTTTTTGAGTGGAGTTACCCTTTAACAACCGTGGGGGAAGCATGGGCGTCGGCAGTGAGGTGCATAAGGGGCAGTTTCCACTCCCAAACCGGGCAGGGCCCCTATAAATATGATCGCAGGGCTCCTTTAACAGGCATACAGCAAATTTGACATATAGGGAGTTAAATAAGGACAATGCTATACTCGGCGTCAACTATTTTGTGCTACGCTGTCAGAGCTAGCTTAGCTTTGGCAGTGCTCCAGCTCTTTCAAAGCTAGTTGCGCGAGCGCGTGCAAACAAGGTGCAAAAGTCAAGGTCACGCGCTCTCGCAGCAGCGGGCGGCTGGAGCACTGGGGAAGCTACGCTAGCCGTGACAACGTAGCACAAAAAAGTTGACGCCGAGTATAGTTTGTGCGTTTTGCTTCTATTTCCCTGGCCTTTCTTTGTAAAGGCCTTCCCAGTGAGAGCACTGGCCTACGGATCCCCATGTGGCGGGTTCGAATCCCTGCCGAGGTGCCCGCAATCTGACTGAGGCTTATTGCGGAGGAGGCGCCGTGTAACCGAGCTTTCGGTTGCACGTCAAAAGATCCCCAGGTGGTCCAAATTAATGTCCTCCGCTGGGGTCCTCAGTCCTCCGCTGGGGCGTGCCAGATGCGGTTTGGCACGTAAAACCCCCAATTTGATAAAGGCCTTCCATATTGTTCGACACAGTTGTCTGCTCTACAACGTTTACCCACACTTTTGTGGTTAAAATAACACATAGTTTGCTTACCCTATTAACTAATTGTTATGACATGTCCTGAACATGCAAATGTATTGCTAGGATTTTAATGGGTAATATTGTTTTCCATAGGACATGCTGACATTCCAGCTCAACTGCAGTCTGGGAGTCAAGAAAACAGTTCGCTCCAGGCCCAGCTCCAGGCAGCTGAACTTGCCCTCTCAAAAGCCAAACAAGAGGCAGACTTTTGGAAGGCCAAGTACGAAAGGAAGAAGGCAGATGGCCTCAATGTTGCTATAATCGAAGACTCCAACAGCTGCCTGTACTACACCGGCTTGCCATCACGTGGCGTGTTTTATGGGCTATTTAGGTATTTGGAGAAGGTGATGGTGAAAACAAAAAAAGGACCTGAACCCGCCCAGACACTCATTGAAGAGTTTTTCATGGTACTTGTCCGCCTGAGAACGGGGATGCCGGTGAGAGAGGTTGCCCGCAACTTTAGTCTGTCAATCTCACAGTTTAGTAAAATTTTTTCAAAATGGATATTGTTTCTCCAAAAAGCACTGGCCGAAATTACCAGGTTTCCCACACTTGCAGAGGTTGCCGAGCACCAACCAAGGTGCTTCAGGGACTTCCCTGACACAAGACTTGTTATTGACGGCACAGAAATAAGAATTCAGACTCCATCTTCGATGGATGCCCAGCGACAGACATTTTCACCATATAAACATGGGAACACCATGAAGGTCTTGGTTGGTGCTACGCCTAACGGCTACGTAAGCTTCGTCTCCAAAGCATGGGGAGGCTCAGTCAGCGACAGGGACATGGTCCTCGAGTGCGGCCTGTTTGCCTTGCTGGAACCGGGGGACGCAGTAATGATGGACAAGGGGTTCAAAGTTTTCGACCTGCTTCCAGCTGGTGTTAAGGCTTACATGCCTCCCTTCAATAAGCCTAGTGAGGGGCAGATGAGCAAAATGAATGTCACTAAGACCCGCAAAATTGCTAGTGCAAGAGTGCACATAGAACGCGTGATCCGAAGGATCAAGGAGTATCATATCCTAGACGATGGTTATCCTGTAAACATGGCAGACATCGGGGACGCAGTTTTTCAGTCATGTGCTTTTCTTAGTAACTTTAAGCATCCTCTTATTGCAGACTGTGGTGTTGACGACAGCTATTGAACATTCAGGTTATTCCTTCCCCCCCAAATGTTTCTTGTAAATGAGCTGCAAAGATCGGACGCTCTGTGTATGAGGCCGCAGCTTTTCTCGTACATTACCAGTCAGAGCTTTTTAAAATTTATTTAAACTTGCACTGGAAGTCACATAAGTATATACTTAGTGTCATGTCAGGGAGCTGTTTGTAAGAGGGGTTTTTGAGATTTTGATTCATCAATACGCTATTATAACTGTATATAACTTGTACAGTTAGAGGGTGACCGCTGGTTATAGAAGAGAGCAAAAACAAAATGCTCAATTGCTGACTACTCTTGCGATGTTAACTATGCCCGTCTTTATCTCAAAAACCGTAGTAAAAAAAACGTCCGGATGCTCGCGCCGCATTACTAATTTCCCTCTTTATATTATATGTGTTATCTTATCAAAACATACTCGTTCCAAACGACAAAAGCATTGATTTTCCCCCGACAAGCAAATCTCGTAAGAACTACTTTGCGCCGCATCTGAACAATTCACCAAACTTACTTTTTTCTTGGTGAAAACGGGTATAGAAACATTGTAAGCTATCTAACATGGCACGCCAAATACTGGAAGGTAGTCCCTCATAGAACTAACTATGGTCTGCAAACATTAATCTATATTTACTTTACCACATTTGCTTAACAGCTTCATTAGTTGCGACATTCAACTGGACTCTCTCACCATGGATGAGCTTCGAAATTGCTATGTATAATAACTGTGCAGTGTAAATAGGTTTGTTTGCTGGTGTGTTCTGCCAGATCTGTTTTTGTTAACATTGTATAAAAATGCATTGTCTTTTTCGTTTGTTTGGTTATTTCATTTTGCGTTGTTTGCCATGTAGGGGTGCCGAGGGCTCGTCAAGCTGCACATAAGCAGCTTTTTCCGTCGGCATCCCCCATCATGTGATGGAAAATGAAGTTGATTTGATTTGATAACTGCCATGTTTCCCAGAATTGCCCAGACACTTGGCACCACAATGCAAACCAAACTGGAAAAGCAGACGATTTTTATTTTGTGCATCGTCCGCCTTTGCAGCTTGACATTCAGCAGTTGAAACAGAAGATGCAGGTATGGATCCCAGATAATGTACCTCGACAGACCAGTACACGAGACAGAGTTGAGAACAAAACTATGGTCTGCATACCCATGGTAAATTAGGTCAAACGTCTAACTCCATCAATTCTGCACAAGCACCCTTAGGAGAAACCTGCGCCTCTGTGCCTGGTTCGCTCGTTTGGCATTCGTTGCACCATTTAGGGGTATGCTTGACAAACATGTGGCCGGCTGCTCTCCTCGTCATAGGCCCGACATTGCAAACGCAGTTCATCGGTATTTCCTTTTATTTGTGAAGCAAGGTACAAATTTAAAACAAAATTTCAGTGTAAACAAGATTGAAACCTGCCAAGATCAGGTCTTTAGACATTTAACAAATTACACAACAATGCAAAGTTATACCTAGGGTTCCGAGTTTTTTCGGTTTTAAATGTTTGAAAATTCAGTGTACTTGCTTTTGTGTTTATTCTAAAATTCGGTTTATTTCGGTGTATATTTATGCCCACAGACGTTTATTGTTTTTTTTTTTCGGTGAATGTGAAAGAATTGCCATGAGACACTAGACCAGGTGGTCCGTGTAGCTCTAATATCTGTGATCACTAAAATAACAACGGCACACATACCTTAAAAAAAATACACTTTATGTAGCAAATGTGCACAACTATAAAAGAACAAAGAAGAAAACTCTAAGTACAAACAAGTCAGATATGAACCTATGCCCAAGAAACACGGAACTTGACTTTAGCATCGTGCGGCAATAATTACACACAAGAGAAACATGGTCTTCACTACAACTTCCGACAGGACGCACCTCAAATTCGGGGGCATAACCTTGCAGGGCACTTGTTTTCCTTTCCATTCTGACGGATGTGACCATCTGAGGTGATGACTGTACATGAACCAGAGGAATAACAAAATATACATTGCATTTAGGTTCCTAACCACAGGGAAGTTTGAGAGAGTGTTAAGAAAATTGATAACGGCTTTCCTCTAAAGTGCATAAAGCGGAAAATCTAATATTAGCCCACACCCCAACTTTCTTTTTGAGGACCAGGAACCTGACACACAAAACCTGGTCACAAAAAGAACACAGAGGTCCTGCAAAGGACAACCTAAGATCTCTTTTGTTGCATGTTGAACCTTGAGAAAGGGCGATCACGAAGAGGTCGCACTATGTCAAACCGTGCACCGCCCTAAGAAACTGACATGTTTTAGTTATAACCGAATTTCCGAAAATGGATTTGCCATACCTTTGCCGGTTTTTATCGCTTTGAACCGAAATATCCAAACCTAGAAACTGACATTTTTCACTTAGAACCGAAATTCCTAAAATGGATTCAGCATATACCTTTATCTGTTTAAACCGAAAACTCCAAACCCTACTTACACCTTATCAGAGTTTTGCAAACAACACGGCATTTGTCAACTAGTGACCAGCAAAAATATTTGAGAAAATGTTTCATTATTCGGAACCATATACACACTTGAACTAAAAAAAAGAAAAGTAACATTTGAGAAACCTAGAGAGTCAAAGCTCATCATCAGCAAAACAGCTTTCAGACTTTTGTACACAGCTTCATATTTTCACCACCACATGCTTAGAACATTATTCGCAGTCTAGTACAACCAGTTATTGTTAATCGAGCAGTCTTGCAAATTGGTATAAAGCTTTTTTGAACATGAAATGAAAGATGCATGGTAACTGTCAAAATAGATGCCAGCCACCTATTATTATTCTCATTAAAACTGGTGTACCTACCAGGCAAAGCAGGAAGCTGTAGAACAAAGAATATTTTGCTTTTGCCAGTACTCCACACATTTCAAATTGCATTACGGAGTGCATAGCTGCCATGATGGTTATAGTGTGACAGGCTAAGAAGATGGGGCGATGCGAAAAAAGAATAGGCAGGAAAAAGCTGACCCCACTCTTGAGAGGAGAGGATGAAGCCCATCTTTCCCAGCAATCCGTCTGCTTTTTCTTCCCCATCGTTCCTTTCTGTTGCCGTATGTTCTTAGCCTGCCAAAAGTATAGTTTCCACTTTGCATGGCCACTCATCACGGTGGCAGCGTGCCCATTGTGTACACCGTGTAGGGAACGTACTCTGCATCCTCGGAGTACAGCTTGTTAAAACGCTTGACTCGTTTTGTCAGCATTTCAGGGACCACTGCCCGGGTATAGAAATACAACAAACCTGGTAGCAGGTAGCTCTCCCAGAACTCTACGTCAAAGTAAATACGTTCCACGGAAATGCTCTTGGCTAAAGAGTCCTCACAGTTAGTAAAAATAACAAAGTCGCACCAACTATACCCTGTCACTCCGAGCTGCCCCTGCACTTGGTAATAGTATGAGTGATCCCTCTTGAGGGTCACAACATTATCTACAAGCATGGAACAGAACTTCTTATCACCACATGCTTCTTCAGGAGTCATGTTAATCTTTGACGGAGGGCATTTGACCTCGAGCAGGCCCTCCTCTGCCCCATTGCGTACAATGCCATCAGGCGACGCTGCGAGGAAAGGATAATCCCTATGTACATGAAGACCAGTAGGCCTAACTGTTGTGTCAAAGTCGTAGTACCTTTGCAGCAGCACATACATCTCTACAGCGTGGGGCTCCATGCGTCTACCATATTCTCGAGGGTCAGTGGCAGGCAGCTGTTTCCTGGGCTGGGGGTACAGTATGCCTCTGACTAAGTACTCGGGCTTCCGGCAGCGCACCGCTTTTTTGAAGACTGAGGCTGTTAGCCTCCCCACCCTTTCTTCAAACCAGGTGTCGTTGTTTGCTTGGCCAATCGTGTTCATCCTGACCTCTTCCCTCTCTTCCATGGTTAGTGCCTTGATAGACTGGAGGTGACGGTAGTACACCGCTTGAGAATCATTGCTCCAGAGGTCTCTGTCGTCTGGTATGAGCGGCTGGAAGTTTTCTTTCGCTGCAGGTCTTGCATACTGGACCCAAGCTAATTCGTGGTCCTCGGCCTCCATGCAGTCAATCAGTTCGCTGAGGGCATCGTCGTTCGGCAAAAAGCTGTATGACCCAGACTTTCGTTGCTTTGGGGCTTTTCTGCACTTCTGTTCTGCAACCTTCCAAAACCCGATTTCCTCCAACGGTGCGGGAGCTGCCCGCTTGTGTCCTATATAATGAAAATGAGAGTAGGGAAATGTAGTTGCATAAGCAAGGATTATGCTATAGGGAGGTGTGAGAAGTGCGCATGGAAAACACTGAATAAAATTTTCAATCTATTAAATAAATAATATTGATCATTGACGGTCTATTGTTCTTACCTTTGTACGGCACTACCCATTCGCATGGGATGTCGGTGCAGGATGGTTGTTTCAGCTCGGCGATAGCATAGAGAAGTCCAGCAACATGTTGACATGTTTCGCTGAGACTGCAATAAAATATGAGACCAAAACATGTAATCACCAGATTACCATCACTTACAATGCTGGCAGATCTGGTCAGATTTGTTCATGCATTGCTCTAAATCCATAACTTGACAGTACCGCAAGATCATTACCTTAAGTCATTTGGGTCTAACCTAAAGGAAACGATTTTTGTTATTGATGCAATATTAGTATGTTTGCAACAGGTCAACTTTTACCAAGGATGTCGGCACCTTAAAGCCTCTGCGCCGACCTTTATCTCGAGATTTAAATTTTTTTTCGGCACCTTAGCTCCATAAACTCTCCTGTAGCACGACCAGCCGCCGGAGCTTCGAGCTCGCGCTCCTAGCTTTCAGGGTACAGGCCACTCGCGAGCGTCCGTCGTCCTGCTCGTTTCATTCCGCGTACTTTGTTTCACTTTAGCTGCGCCAGAAATAAAAGCCACAGCGCAGCCTTATGCTCTACGTTCCTCACCTACACGCGGGCTCGTGGAGTGCGAGCACGGTTTCAGGCAACATGCTCTTGCTTGTAGCTTCGGCTCCGCTCGTACGTAAAGTGGAATGGAACGAAGTAGTGCGATTGCGCCGAAGGTGAGAAAACTAGCGAACTTGTCATATTGTTACACCTATT